AAGCCTGGTGACCGTTGGCTTGTCCTCTAGCATAGAGCCCCTCCAAAATAATATAAAAATCAACTCTCTTAAAGCCAGGGCACTCTTGTGAATGTTGCTCAGTGCTTATGAAAGCAGGGTGTATCTCTGCTTTAGGGAAGCTCAGTCCCCAGAGGGTGCTTGGGTGCTAACCTGGGTAACAGCAGGGGAGATGCAGCAAAAGATGCGGGACACGGCATTGCCAGAACAACAGCAGAAGAAGCCATGGCCAGGTGATGGACAGATATTTGGGTTAGAATAAAAGTGGTTTCTTCAAGGGTGGGAATGAAGGTGCCAGTGCAGACGGGAAGGGAGAGCTGGAGGTCACCAGCGTGGCAGAGATGAGCTGCATTGCGAGTTTACCTGTGTAGTGCTCAATATAACGAAACTCCGGGGTTTATTTTATACAACATTTCACTTGCGCGGGTGCTCCAAGTGATGTTTTCGGAAGGGGCTTTTGAAATTGCACGAGGGAAACTTGAATGATTTGGGGGATGCCAAGAGAGCACCAGCCTCCCAAAACCCCACCGGCTGGGCTGGCCCTGCTGCAGCGGGTCCTGCTGGCACGGGGTGGGGATGGCGCCTGGAGGAATCCAGCGTAACGTGGCCAAGCAAATGGAGCAGAGCAAAGAGGAGGAGCAGCTCCGGGAGGGTATGTTTTTAAAAGGTCAGGGGAAAGCAAGTTTAAGAATGAGAATGATATATCCTAGGGCAGAAGTTAGTTTTTCTGCATCGCATTTCCCAAATTCCAACCTCCTTGGGGTTTATTTTTTTCATATAGGGGAAATGAAGCACGACAAGGCAGCAAGGTGCGGACCCAGCCTCAGGGAGCACCCCCAGCCAGCTGAGCACCCAGCATCCCAGCTGGCACAGTGCCAGCTCCCTGCAGGAGCCGCGGCAAAGACCCGGGGACCGTCACAGGGTCCAGGCACCCATTCTGTGCTGCAGTGTCTTCGAGGGAGCAGAAGTGCTATGACGGCGAAACATGGTCCTCGCCTTTCTTCTGGTTTAAAGTCTGTCCCCTGGCTCTCCCCTTCCCCTCCTGCATCCCAGGATTTCAGCCTCCGCTAGTCGCAGTCAGGATCGCCATGCCAGATGTCTGGGCTGTATTCCTGTCGCGCCGAATTGGCCTAAGAGACAGGAATTGGTTACAACCATACGGAAACCCGGCCCATTTGTCCCTCCCTATTTCTGCTTGCAGTGAAGCCGTGACCTTCCCTGCCTGTCGTAGCTCCAGGTGGGGCTGTTAAGAGAAGCCGGTGCTGCTGCCAAAAGCCTTCTCCCCACCAAGAGCTCACGTGGCCGGGGGTGATAATCTTGCTGGAAACTAACCTGGAGCCTAAAACTGGGTTTAATCCACATCGGTTCCCTGCCTCGCTTTGTCCCAGGTCACCAAGGTTCATGGCAGAGGGCAGCGAAACTGCAGCCCTTATTTATTTTGACTTGCTTACTGGAGCAGAAATAAAGCTCAAGGAGATGCACACAAGTCAGAAGTGACATGGCAAGTCTTTTCTCGGAGCTGGAGGGGATTTTCTTTCATGCTGTGGTATATGTTAATCCAGGTAAGCAATGGCACTGGAAGTATTTTATGCCGTTCGCTTGCCCCGTGCTAGACTCTGCTCTGTTATGTTATGCCTTTGGCTTTCACGAGCAGCTTTGCACAATAATAAATGTGGGTTAAAGCAAACCTGTTCAGTCTCCTCTCCTTTTTTTAAATACGAGAAAAGAATTGCTATGTAGCATGTACGTGCGCGCATGCATTTTCATCCTGCAAAGCGTCAGCTGTGAAATAATAGATGGGGTTTAGGATTAATATGGATGTGACGGAAGGATTTTGAGGTGAAATGGATATGTGCCCAAAGGTCTTGAGCATTGCTGCTGCCAAACCTCAGATGCGAGAGCTCCCGGGGATGCAGCGGAGCCATGTATCTCCTCCGGCCACGCTGTGGCTTTGAGTCGCAGCAGGTCTGAAGCTGGATGATCAGAAAATGCTGCTTGGCTGGCACATTAGCTCGTGTTAATGTAGAGCAGCTGCCTTGGCTCTGGCGCTTGCCGTAGCCAAGTTTCCCAAAATAGACATTGTTTTCTGTATAAAGACGTTCTCTGGTCCTGCGCATGCACTGCCCATCCCCTCTGTGAGTCGTGGCCAGCACGCGTGGTTCCTGCTGCGAGGGTGGGCTGGCATGGATCTGGCCTCACTGTTGTTGTTTTGGAGCCTTGAAAGGGAGAATCTGCAGGAGAATCCATGAAAATGGAGCCAGAGCCTTGGCTCCCTCGTGGGATGTTTACTGGGGGGATGGGGGGGGGAGCGTCCAGAGGTTGGACCCATAACGAAGCAGGCCCTGTTGGTTGCTTGGAGTGGGGTCGATTTGATGACTGAATTGTGCCATCCCATGCTAGTAGAGATGCAGGAGCAGGACCGGGCAGTCTCCAGAGGATGCCCATCACGTGTGGCCATAAAATTGTGGGGAGCCCATGGGAAGGAGCTGGGGGAGAGGGGGGAGATGCTGGAGCCAGAGGGATGCTGGAGCCAGGAGCTGCCCACTCCCCCCCCATGGTGCCTGCTCAGGTTTGCTGGCTGTAAAAAAGTTTAAAGAAATTATTTCACCCCCCCCATGGGGGTTCCTCTAGGCACCCCCTCCCTGCATCCTGTGGTTTCTTTGGGGAGCTGGAGCTGCATTGGTGGCTTTTTCTGAGCATCCGCCACCATCCCTGCCTCCGCTTAGAGCTCAGACCCAGTTGAGCATCTCCCAGGGCAGCGCTGATGCCAGTTGCCTCCTTCTTCTGCAGGTGGTGGTACAGCTCACCGACGACCTCCTGTCCCAGGCGGTGATGATGGTGGAGGACAGCCGGCCAACACTGGCCATCAACCTGGCTGGAGCCCGGCAGCACTGGCTGGAGGGGATGCTGCGCCATGAGATAGGTCAGCGGGGCGATGGAGGGGGGGGATGCTGTGAGCATCCCCTGGTTGTCACCGGGGTAACGGTGGCCTGGGGGCTGCAGGGACCACGGGGCATGGTGGAACCCACCGGTCCTGCAAGGAGGCATCCTGGAGGCATGGTCCTGGGCAGGTTTTGGAAGGGGCTGAGGCCACCTGGGTCCCTCTCTGCATGTGGGGCAGAGGGGGTGTTGGGCACCCACCCATGCACTCATGTGCCTGCCCTGGGCACCGGAGCAAGCAGATGTCTCATGGCAGCAACCTCCATGGGTGGTGGGTCTCGGTCCCAAACCCAGTGACTTGGGCAGGGGGTGGAGGGGTTGAGCTTTTTGGACGCTGCGGCCAACAGTGCTTGCTCCCATCCCCCCCTCCCCAGGCACCCACTACATCCGGGGGGTGAACAACACTCGCCAGCCCTGGCACAGCTCCGAGGGCCGCAAGCAGTATAGCCTGAAGCCCGCCAACCCCACGGAGGAAGGCTTGGCCAGCCTGCACAGCGTCCTCTTCCGCAAGCAGCCCTTCCTGTGGCGGGCAGCCCTGCTCTACTACACCATTGAGCGGGCCAGCCGCCTCTCCTTCTCCGCCCTCTTCCAGGACCTGGAGCAGTACGTCCAGGATGCCGGTGTCCGGTGGGAGTACTGTGTGCGGGCGAAGCGGGGCCAGACCGACACCTCGCAGCCAGGTACCACTCGGGGATGGGAAAAGCCTTTGGGGTTTGTAAGGGACTCTTTTCTAATTTTTTTTTAAAAAAGAAAAAACAGAGGTGGGTGTGTTTTGCTGCTGGGTGGGCTGAGCATCACCCCACTGCCACGGCAGCCTTTGAAATGGCGGCTCAGCCCCCACCCTGCATCCCTCCCCACCCCCGGCACTGC